ATATGTGGCATTGGTAGAGATCTACCAGCACAGCTTGTCCCAGGGTGGCAGGTCTAGCATCTGCTGGGTCATCCCATATCCCAGTGATGCCTGGAGCTTGCACAGGTGACCTGCTGTCCATCCTGCCAGGATCTGGGCACACACAGGGATGCAGAGCAGAAAAATAAGCAACAAGCAAAAAACGGAAGGACCTGAGCTGTGCCCGAGGTGGGTTTGGGACATGGGTGACACAACCCTGGGGTTGTCCCTGGGTTGTCCCCTTGGTTGGCTCAGGGAGCAGCCAACAGACTCATCTTCCAGGAGAGACTCAAAACTACTCGTTGGCACCTTTTGCTGCAACCTGGTCCTCATTATTTCTTAATTAACATAGCCAAGAAATCAATTAACGGCGACATTCCTAATTAAATACTACAGGAGATGATCATCTCATTATTATTATCTGCTGAGGTGAACAACTTGATGTGTGCAGCAGGTTTTGCGCTCCCTGTTCCTTCCACTTCCCCAATTATAGGAAATCAGGAATGCAAATGGTTGGGGTTGTTCTCACAATCCGAAGGCTCCGTTTTGTACATTAGGAAAATCGAAGAGATTAATTAGCTATTAAGTGAATGTGTATAATGTTATCATTAGCTGTTGTGTGTAGTCTTTTCTGGCACAATTCGCTGTCCTAATAAACAGTACTAATGTGCTCCTGCTTTCCCAGCTCCATGGTTTTCATCTCTAATGCCGTTGGAGTGCGGCATTTCGGTGCATATCATCAGTCTCACCGCGCTGGCAGGAACCAGGATGATCCAGTGCTGGGATCACTGCATGAGGAAGCCCAAACTTGAGCTTCCTGAGAGGAAAACCATCTTTCAAGATCCATAAGGGTAAGGTTTGGGTGTGCTGAGCCTTTCTGCTGCTTTTAAATAAAATAACATCTCAACATCCCCTGGACTGGGATATCTGAACCGCATCAGCTAGATTATGTCCCAGCTGGTCTTGGTGTCCCCATGCTGAGACACCAAGGAACAATTCGTTCCCCAAGAACGAGGGGAAGGGCAGCAGAGAGGAGTCTGCAGCATTCTGGTTGTCCAGAGGAATGGGATGTACATGGACACGAGGACAAGCCCTGAGGTCTCCAAGCTCATGGGTATTCTTTATTATAGTGCTACCTCACCACACAAGACCTGCAGATGGGGCTTGGAACAACTTGGTCTAGTGGAAGGTGTCCCTGCCCATGACAGGGGGTTGGAATAGATGGTCTTTAAGGTCCCTTCCAACCCAAACCACTCCATGGTTCTATGATTCTGTGCTTTCAGAGGAGGTTAGAAAAGGGAACTGAGCCCCATGAGGTGGTAACTGTCCCTTCCCAGCTCCCAGCAGAAACATCTCCCCAGTGCTTTAAGCAAGGGCCACAACGTTTTGAGTGACATTTGAACAAAATTTGGGAGCAAACATTGTCTCCAACCTGCCAGAGGCTGCGATGAGCTCTTAGAGATAACCCCTGGTGAATGTCTGAGTCAGGATCCAGGGATGTATTTATTTCTCAGCACAAACTCTGCTGAGTTGATTGAGACCCATTTTCATGACACATAAAGCGAAACAAGTTTGACGAGGTTTGTGCGGGCAGACGAGAAATCCAGACTCATTTAGACCGTTTGATTGTCACTTGTTTGACGGTGCAGCTGCCTTTGAGCCAAGCCATAATCTCACAGCACAGCTCCTCTGACATCCCTCAAGCTGGTCCTCACCCCCTCGAGCAGGATCAGGCCCTCATGATTCACAGGAGCTGCCTGGCTTTATAAATCCTAAGTCTCTTCTCCAAAGGGATTCACTCCTTATTAGTAATCACTGCATCGATGTGATGAGCATCTCCTAAAATTAAAGACCCGCACAGCTCCAGCTTTGCAGGTGATGCACATGCAGGGAAAGCACCCACACTCACATGGGGAAAATTTGGAACTGGCTCTTTCCCAAGGCAGAACTTGCTGAAGCCACGCTTTTTCTTTGGGTGTCTCCTAAAGAAGTACAGACAGCAAAGCCCTGACTCCTTTCCTCCACTGGAAATTCCTAGCTCCAGCTGCAGGCCCGGCAGGTAGCCAGAGCTCACAGCCACCAAACTCTTTCATCAGTGATCATGATGCAAAATCAAATCACTGTCTCCCTCCTTGCTCCATCTCTCCGAAATCTCATGGCAAAGCACAGTCTCCATCTCTTCTTCCTTCCCCCTCCTCAAAACAAAAGCTTGGGATGAACAAGCTTTGCAGCAGAATGGTTCAGGCAGTGACAAAACCCACTGGAGAAGGGGAAATGATCCACCCAGACAGACGCCGGAGCCAGGAGGCTTCTCCCTGTCAACACAAGAGGCTGTTTCTGTCTCAGCCTCACATTTCCATTCAGGAGGAGGAAGACAGCAAGTTGTGCCTCCGTGCAGCACGATGTGGCTTGGCTCCTCACTTCTGCAGGATCCATGGAGCCATAAATTGAAGCTTTAGTCTTGGAGGAGTTTTTTCCCTGCTGCACACACACGTGGATGTGTGTGCAAGGAGGTACCTGCACCCCTAGCATCCCACAGTGGTCCTTATTCCCTCCCACTCCCTGCAGCATTGGAAAAGACCTGTTCCAGGCACACAGCTCATCCCAGCTGGCTCTCCAAAGCCTTGCTGCTGCCATTCCCATCAGCAGGCTGCTCTTTGGGGATTGCCAGCATCCCTGCTCCCCTTCCCAGGGTTCCCTCTCTCACTGCTGCAGGGAGTTAATCCACTCCCAAGGCAAAATCCGGGGCCTGATTCTGCACGGTCCTGCCCATAGGACAGATGCTACTGAAAATGTCCATGGGACAGTTGCCACCTCCCTGTAGCCTCTCCAAATCCCACCTGGAGAGGATGGAGTGGACTCGTGTCCTCCAGAGCATACATTCAACTCATCTAGTGCATTAAAGGAACTCTACTGGGCCAAATCCAGCTGTTCCTTACCCTGGTGTAAATCCAGAATAGCTCTCTGAGTGTATCTAGACCCACTCTGTGATTCCACCAGTGCCAGGGACCAGGAGTTGGCCCATGAGCAGCAGCTATGGAGAGCCCAGAGTTGGCCTCTCCTCTCCTGCATGCTGGTGTGTAAACCCACAAAACTGATTAGCTTCATGCAATTATTTACGATTTACACCAGTGCAGGGACAGAATCAGTTGTCCTGAGCTGGCCCAACTGTTGTGTAGCTCCAGTTCCTATGGATCTGACTACAGCTGGGAGCGAGAGCAGTCCAAGGTGGAGGACACACAGTAGGGCTCAAGCCTCCTGATTCCAGGAATTGCAAAAAATCCATCTAATACATTCTATGTCAGTGGCAATTTGGTTTCCCCTGCTCCCCCCCCCCCCCAAAAAACCCCAACAAATTGACATTGGAAGGATGACAGCCTGTGGGTTTGAGGTGTCCATCCCTGCAACAATCCCAGACTGTGCCATTGGCATGGTGTGCTGGTGGCCATAATCAAAATGAACTCCTCTGATCCTCAGGGAGTCACTTGGGATTTATTCTTGGGTACAAGATAGCAGAAAGCCAAATTATTGCACCAAATCTGTGTGAGGGCAGGACTCAGAGCAGTGCTGGGGTGACTCACCCCATCTCACTTTAATCACCCCAAAGTGGAGCCGTTGAAGGGACAGACACACAGACAGACAGACACATCTCCAGAGGGCAGTTCCCTTCTCCGAGGCTTCAGTCTCACACTCATCAGCTTGGCACAGCCAGGTGAAGCTGTCCTGGCCACTAGTTCCTGCTTTGAGTCTTCTTCTGCACCAGCACAAGGTGTTGGGCAGAGTTGGCATTGCTGGATAGAAGTGTTGGCACAAATAAGAGAAGAGAAGAGAAGGGAAGGGAAGGGAAGGGAAGGGAAGGGAAGGGAAGGGAAGA